CTCAGGGCTTCTCTCCTCCAGCACATGTGGGGAGTGCCGGGCCTTCTTCATGTTGCTCTGTGGGAACTGGGGTTCAGGGAGCTGGTACAAGAAAATGCTGATGTAGTGCTGTTTCTGAAATCTTTAAACCTTCTGCCAGAATCCATAAAATTGTGACAGCTAAATTCTTAGCTTGAAAGTAAAATAAAATCTCACACCTTTCACAGTTCTTAACATAGACTAGACACTGGTAGGCGCTGGGAAGACTGAAGGGAAGGTTAAAATCTCATACACAAAGATCTCAGTATCTATCTCACTGCGATTGGCACTTGACCAATTAAACTCCATATATTACATGAAATTGTGTTGTTGTTTTTTCAACCTTTGATTGAGTAAAGTGGAAGTGAAAAATTCTTTTATGTACATAGTATGGATAATTATTAATATCAACAGCTCCCACATCACATTTCTTCCTTGCCTGGAAGCAGATACTCCCGAGAGGCAATTATGAGTGTGGATTTATTTAGTTGTCCTTTCAGGTCCTTCCACATTTACTTCATATATTTTAAAGCTATGTTGTGGGGGTATAGACATTTCAAATTTTGCTATCTTGTGGGTGAACTGACCTCTGTTTTCTCTTCGGGGAGAGGACTGAGGAATAAATGCAGAACTGCCCATTTTCTTTGGTTTTATCTTGTTCAGTTGCTGTCTTCTTAAGCTGAATACCAAGCTCATTCAAGGAGGAAGATGAAATGTGATCCCATAAATATATGTTTGTTTTAAAAGTATGTGATATCAGTTAAGTCACAATGATCTCTCTTCTGGTCATCAAAATTTTGATATTTAACATCTAAGTATTTCTAAAAGTTGAAAGTATTTTTAAGTAGGTTTTTCTGAAATAAAAGCAGTTCCGTTGTTTTATTTTACATGCATTTTAGTGTTTTCCTTGACTTTCATTCAGTATTTTAACATACATTTTGACTACTTAAGATCTAATTTGCACTGATGCCCAAGTGCTACTACGTATTTATCAAAATGTTTTACATGCATTTTTCATTCATCAACTTTCTGCCCTTTAGAACACAGTCCCCCAGTTGCTTCACTCTACTGAGATCCACTCAGTAAAGACATCAAACGAAAGCAATATACTATTTACAGCTTGCCCACATGCACTAAACATCAGATAAAAAGTTGCGATGCAGGTCCAAAGGATGATTTGGAAATTACTAACCAGTTTCAACTAAGTAAGCAACCTACATATATATCAAGAGTAAATGGAGGAATGCAAATGACTTAAAGCAAAGAGTGTACAAACATAGTTATCACTATTAAATAAAAGCAATTTTCTTGGTAGACTTGATGATAGCCTGCATTTTTTTAAAAAGTGATTCTTTACAATTGCTGGAAAGCCTCTAGTTCTTTTTTTCTCTATTCCCTATCAAATTTGTTATCTACAGTTCATGACCTTTCCCATGTCCAGAACACCATTCCCAGTCCATTTACTCTCAGCTAATGAGAAGACTTCTCACCTTACAAAGAAGAGTAAGGTCAACTGATATGCTCCATCAACCTCCCTTTGTTCCATCTCTAAGCTTTTCTCTTTATTTGCACAATGACTCTGTTACTGTCCTTTGTCCAAGTGTATCTCCCCCAGTCTTCAATAAGATTATCCCTGTCATTGAGTGCCAATCTCCTCTCTCTGCACCCCACCAACACATACTCCAGTGTCTATTTCATACCCAAGGTGTATGATAAGCCCACTTTTCAACATTTTTAAGGACCTACCAAGTGCCAGTCACTCAATTACTATGGGACAGGAAGTTAAATAAAAATCCATTCCTCCTTTTATAAAATTCACAAACTTATGGGAAAGATAAATAGTTTTAAAAAGAATTACAGCTGAAACTGGTTTGGCTCAGTGGATAGAGCGTCAGCCTGCAGAGTGGAAGGTCCCGTGTTCAATTCCGGTCAAGGGCATGTACCTTGGTTGCGGGCACATCCCCAGTAGGAGGTGTGCAGGAGGCAGCTGATCAATGATCCTTTCTCATCTGTGTTTCTAATTCTCTATCCCTCTCTCTTCCTCTCTGTGAAAAATCAATAAAATATATATATTTTTAAAAAAAAGAATTACAATTGGTGTGATAAGAGCAAAGGCATGGTATAAAGGAAAAATAACAATGGTTACAGAGAAATTTAAAAAAAAAAAAATATATATATATACACACATAGATCTCTATCAAGCCTACTTTCTCTGATGGGTTTTCTTCTTTTTCTACAAATAGACTCAGGTCTCCTCTAGTCTTAAACACACAAAACACCCATGTCACTTAAACTGATATTGCTATCATTCACTTTTACTCATAGTCCACAAATCCAATCCACTGTTTTTTATTCTTCATTTTTCAACTTGGTCTTGGTTTCCACCATTACATTGACACCTCTCATCAAATCCAAGTTGAGTAATCCACTCAACATATCACTTTTCTGATACTCATAAGTCTCCCAGCTATGAAGGATTATTGTAGACTGTACCCTCTTCAAATTCTCTCCTTGCCTTTTGTGAGAGTTTACTTCTCTAATGTATTAGCTCTCGATTAGATGCCATTCAGTCTTCACATATCCCACTTCTTTCTGTAGCCTGACAAAGTTCCCTTTAGCCAGAATTCCATTTCAAGATGTGATTTTTGACTCCCTACATCCTCTCTCTGCTATTTTGTTTTCCCTCTCTGGCACAGAAAATTTATGATAGTCAGTGCTACAGTAACCTGTGATTGAGAAAAATAATCATGAAATTAGAAGGCCTGGCTTCAGTTTCTGATTCTACCACTGACTTACTATCTGTGTACCATGGCATGTCACATCCTATGATTCCATAAAAGAGAATGGCTTTCTAATTAATATTCCCTCCAATCCCACAATTCTACAATTTCAACTGGAAAAAACACCAGATTTTTAGTTTTAATTTCTCTAATGCAGTACAAATCCACATTCTGTCTGCCATTTAAATGTTCCACCTTTAAAACTAATCTCTTTAATCAACTAGTTCTTTTAAGTTTTCCACTAACCTTTATGTACTTATGACCATTATTTTAAACTTGAAATCCCAATAATATTATGCACACACTGCCTTCTATTCATGCATTCATTCTCTCTTCCTGATTCCCAAACCCCCCTTCAAATCCCAACTCAAAGAGAATCTCTTCCAGAAAGTGTTTCATGGCCTCTCCTGATGGTTATAGTACCCCACTTCTTCAGAAGACCCAAGATATTCTATGTATACAATAGTTCCCCCTCCCCACCACCACCAATTACCTGTGGTTTCAGTTACAGCAGTCAAAAGTGGTCTAAAAATAGAAAATTTCACCATCAACATAATCTGCTAACACCCAACCACCGACACTGTCATGGCTTCAAAACCCAAGACTACCCGAAGCAGATGATCCTCCTTCTGACGTATATTTGGAAGGTCAATAGCAGCCTAAGTTATGTCTATTGTCATTCACCTCACTTCATCTTATCAGGTAGACATTTTATCAGCTCACATCATCACAAGAAGAAGGGTGAGTATAGTACAGTAAGATATTTTGGAAGAGAGAAAGAATCCACATTCACTCAACTTTTATTGCAGTATACTGTTATAATCACTCCATATTATTAGGTGTTATTGTTAACTAGAGGCCCATTGCAGGAAGATTCCTGCAATAGGGCTTCCTGCTGCAGTGGCTGCCCTGCCTGCTTCCCTCCCTTCTCCCCGTCCTGCTTGCTTGCTTCTCTGCAGCTTTGCTCCCTTCTGCAGCGCTTGGCTTCTTTCTATGCTGTCTTCAGTCTTCACTCTGGCCTGCATATGCAAAGTAACTGCCATCTTAGTTGGGTTAATTTGCATACTCGCCCTGATTGGCTGGTGGGGGTAGCAAAGGTGTAGTCAATTTGTATGTTTCTCTTTTATTAGGTAGGATTTCCCACTGGGCCTAATTTTATAAATTAAACTCTTTTGAAGGTAGATGTATAGGAAAAACCATAGTATTTACTGTAGGGTTTGATACTATCTGCGATTTCAGGCATCCACTGGGAGTCTTGGAACATATCCCCTGTGGGGAATGGGGGACTGCTGGACCCCTAACACTTGGCAAGCTTCCCTCCAGACTCTGGCTCTGATCCTCCTTTGCATCCCCCAACAGCACATGAGCATTGTTTTGTGCAGAGTACAGGAAACCTCTGAGATTTGAACTGAACTAACCTGAACTTTGGACACAACAGAAGCAGGAGCATTTTAGACTAATTACTTTCTTCCAGTAGAAATCTGTGTGGAATGACACTTGGTGTAGGTGTTCCAGCTCTAAACTGAGAAAGCAGAAGCTCTTCTAGAACTCCTTCAAAATCCAAGTCAACTAAAAAGGACACTATAGACAGTAATCTTTGCAGTGTCACTAGTTTTTAAAAGTATATTTACTAAAAGGTATATTCCTAAATAGTTGGTTTTATATTGAAGCATTTTTAAAAATCTAAATTGTTTACATCAAGACAATGTGTTTCATAGACCTAATGAACTATCATCAGAATTGAAGATTTATCATAGCAACAGTGATGTTTATCAGAACATTTAGCCAGCACATGCTGCATCATCATCTGCTCTCACCTACATGCGGCATAGCAAACAATTTCCAAAATGAAATAAGATGTCATCAATTTTCAGCTTCATTAATAAGCTTCAATGCATTCCTCTAAAAACTGTTTCAATGCCCTCAATTGTGATAGCAAGACATATTAAGAGAGAGAAAAAAAGGTTTCCAGCTTCCTTATTACCAAGAAACATGAAAATGCAGCCTAGCAGACGAAAGAACCAGAATTTCCAAGCACTCTACACCAGAAAAGTCAAGGCTTTAGCTTAACTCACCTGGAAGGCAGGCTATCTGCGTGCGGCCTGACGGTGTTACACAGCATCGCTGCAAGGACGTTAAATGAAACTGAGAGGAACTGTCTGGCACCTCATTACTGAAGAGGCAGGGAAGATTCTGACCTACCTGGCTTATCCCTCCGGGAGAGATCTTGTACGACTGCAACTTCTGCCTCAGCAGCTCGGGATCACTGTGACGGAATGGGCACCCTGACAACAAAAAACAGGCCAGCACATCAACAAGGTTATTTACGTGGGACTTAGTACAGAGCCACACTCGAGAGACTGTCTAAGCTACCCTTAATTGGCTAACAACTTATTAATAAAAAAGTTAATTGCCCATGAGTGCAGCTGCGTTCCTCTCTTTATCTAAATGACGGCTTCGCTCTACGGTTCTCAGGGTACCACAGGCTCAAGAGTTACATAAAGCACTGCAGCACTCTCCGGCTCAGTTGCTCATTCACTGGGAAGAAACAGTTTTAATTGTGCTACTGGCTAATAAGCAGAGATAATCACAAAGTAGCTATAAAACAGTTTATCTAAAAACTTTATATTAGCACACATTTTTTTCTAAAGAATTACTTAAAAGACATACTATCGGAGGAAGATAGTGTAGACAAAAAGAAAAATGTGCAAATGCTAAGAAATATAAAAATTTTCAGATGTAAATCCCATACCCATTTCCCATTGTGTAGAAACAATATAAATTTAGATGAATCATGGATGGGAATGAGATGCATAAATAAGGAACTGTCTCATAGAAAAACAAATTATAGTAGATACATGACATCTCTAGACTATTTCACTGGAATAATAAAGTTGGACTACTAAACATATTTGCCTAAACAAAAACACAAAAGAATTGAAATGTAAAAGCTGTCTTAGCCCAAAATCTAGAAAATTTTAGATATTTTAGTAAGAAACTGCAATGACAGGCCAAAATACTTAATTTGACATTTAATATAGGATGCCAGATAGTTTTTCAGTCAGAGATATGATAGATCTATAAGTTAATTAGAGACAATTATGCATTTTTAACAATAGAAAATTGATTGGGACAAAAATAATGGAAAGGAGTCTACAGGTCAAACAAATGTGTTTCCCAAAAATCTTATCTCCAAATAAAAACACGCATGATAACACTATGGACTCCTACTAATTATGAAATTTACAAAATGCATAGTATATACTTTATTCAGTTTAAAATCATAGTTATTTTTAGTACAAGGAAATGTCTTGAGAAGCTGTGTAGCACAGAGTTGAAAGTTTGGATCTGAGTTTAACAGTTACAAGCTAGGAGACTAGGCAAATTTTGTATCTTTATGTTGACTCAGCTTCACTGTCTGTCAAGTGAGGGAAATACTGAGCTCGTGTGGGAACAGACTATAAAGCTCTTATCTTACATGCTTCTGGTACATAGTAAACACACAAAAAATCTGATAATGAACTTATGAAGAATCACAATGAGAAAGACATGAGGGTACATGCGGAATTTTTGGTTTAGTCCATAATTATTAAAGGACACCAAAACAAAACATTAACTGAATTTCCCAAAGTACATCTGAAATAATGGCTGTATGAAAGGTCCGAAAGGGCAAAAGCCAAGAAGAAACTAAAGATTGCCAAAATATTAAATATCACATAAAAGTCTTTAAAAGTTATGTTCACTATAAGAAGAAAACAGAGGAACCAGATTACTAGAGAAGCTGATCTATGATAATAAAAGCATAATATGCTAATTAGACCAGGTTTTCTTCCAGACAAAGAAGCTGGGGCTGTCACAGCCCCGGGTGCCACAGGGAAGCTGGTCCCTGGCAACTGGGGGAAGGAAGGCCTATTCTTGCACAAATCTCGTGCATGGGCCTCTAGAGGGACTATAACAGAGAACAGAAGTAAAACAGAACTCAGCGTCTCCTACTTTGTTTCTATCTTCCACATCAGAGAGAATGCTATTTACAATTGGAAAGAGTTGCACTAACGAGATAACTAAAGAAGAAGTGAATTCCTAAACAACTAACTCTGACTTCAGCTAAGTGTTTGACAAAGCTTTTGTGGAAGAGATGGATAAACATCATCCAGAATACAGTTACACCTACATGGATTCATAACTGGTTGAACAATCCTTCCAGGCAGTGCCACTTAATGAAATAATGTGAACCTAGGGGACTAGTTAGCTTTGGAAGTAACAAAAAAATAAATAAATAAATAAATAAAAGGACAGAGACTTCTGGCTTCCAGTCTAGCATATAAGGAGCTTAGAAGTTGCCTCTCCATCCAAATAAGTAAAAAGCTGAACTGAAAAATCAGACGCTGTTCTTGGATCCATTTGAGAAGAGTCACTGGGCAAATCACTGTCCCCAAAACTGGAGAGAGAAGGAGACACAGAATCTCAACTTACCAAGCAGAAATCCCTGTGGGAACTAAACACTGAGGTAGGAAAACTGAATCTGGACAGATTGCTGGAGTCTCCATGTGGTCAATTCTAAGGGTTAAAAACTCCAAGGAGACCCACCCATGGGGGAAGACCACACCTTTGTAAGTTTAACATCCAGGAGCTCTACCAGATCTTTACAGTGAATGAGAGAGAGAATCCCCACATCCTCCTACCAGTGGGAGAGGAAAAGTAACCATTTTGAAAGAGCTATCTGTTCCTCTTAACAAGGCCTGCCCGCAGGAAACACTATTGTATCAGAGCCTAAAATGCTGGGGGCTTTAACAAAGTCTAACCTACCTGGGCGAGGGGGGGGGGGGGATACACAATTCCAACAACTACATCCAACAACAGCTGATGACACATTCTTCTCAGCTCACACATAACAAAGCTGCTCTGGTGAGGGATGCCAGTAGCGGGGAAAGCTATGCAAGTGTGGGGTAGGAGCTATCTGGGAACTCTGTACATTCTGCTCAATTTTTCTCTGAACCTAAAACTATTCTAAAAAAAAAAAAAAAAAAAAAAAAGGAAGTTAAGGACAGATAAATGTGCCTATAAATTATATGAAATCATTGAGTGTTTGCTAAGTATAATATTTTTAACTGGTAGTTCAAAACAAACAGAATGGAATAAATAAAACCCAATTTATCAGGAGTAAGAAATATAAAATCCTGCATTTAAACTAATAAAAGTAAACAAAATGTGTAATAAACGCTAGGATCTAGAAATTGACAGAAGAATCCCTGGGAGGAGTTTTTCTTGGCCAAGCTCCATGTAAATCGCCTGCCTGTTGTGGCGGCTAGGCAAAGCTCGAGGCTTTTTCAACAGGAGTCTCTGGCCAATGGTTTTCAAAGTTCAGAAAACAACAGTCATCCAGGGAACTTGTAAATACATCTGAGTTTATATAGCTGAAGGTAGAGAATATGCCTTTCTAAGAGGTACGTTAAGTGATTGACGAGCAGTGAGACTCACTGGCTGTGTGCACTGCACTACCAGCACTGCTGCCTTTTCACCTATGAAATATATGAACGCACAAGCATTTTTAAATGCTCTGTATACATGCAACATCTTTCTTAAAGTTCTCTCTGTGATTATAGATCTTTAATAACCTAAATGTGTATCTTTTTAAAGAGTTTCATTTAAGATGCTAAAACAAAATATGTTTTGACACATACATTGCAGTGAACTTTGGTAGTCTAGAATATTTACTAATATGGACTGTTAAACCATTCTCTGATATACCAGACAAATGGGAAGCTTTTCAAGGTATGCTCAGAGAACTATTTTAGAAAAAAATATTTTGAACTCAGCAATCTATAGAAAATAGTTTAACACAGATTTTTTTATTTTTTAACCTACAACTCAGGCAAGTTGATAGACGCTTGATACCGTGACTTGCTCAATTCCTCACTTAATCTGTGTTTGTTAATCAGATGATAGTAATGAGAACAAAAACACGGTTTTCCTTGATAGTGTTATGAAAATAGTGAATCTACTATTCTAAACTTTGAGACATTCCATCTTCAAAGAGCTCTGAAGAACTTGTGTCAGTGTGCTAAGACTTGCAGAATGAGAGACACAGACAGATAGGCAGACAGACACGTGCAGGCGAGGGGGAAATTGAGAACAAAAGAGCCCGGTCCAGTAGCTGCGTGACGTTCTCTTGCCTGACCTAGTTCGGTGACAAGGCAAATAGACAGAAGAGTAATGGGCTCCGGCTTGACACTGATGACTGGCATACGCTGTAAACTGGTTCCTGTCAGTGATGCAAAACGCCATCACACTGTTTCAGCGTTTCCCACTGAGCTCCTGGGTTTCTGTACTTCGCAAGAATGTCAAGTGGAAGCACTTACCATGATAATCCCCTTGGCCTGGCGGATTGTTTAGAATAATCTTCAGGCAACTGAAAGGTGTATAGTCTGTCCTCTTGCCTTCCTTTCCGAAGCTGTGACGGATATTGTAAGAGTAGCCTTTATCAAACTGGTTGGAGAAAAAAGAAAGGAGAGACAAAAGTAAGCCAGTATTGTAGGAGTAGTGTCAGCAATCCGGCTAGGACCAAAGAGCAGAGAGGGATATTTCATAAAACAAATTCAGCATTCATGGGCAGATGTACATTCAGATTGCACACATCATTTGGGTCCCTTATGATACAAATAAAAGTGACTATGTTTTGGAGAATTACATGTATTAGGAGTTTTTTCTTTTATTGCTGAGTAGTTTCTTATTAATGGATACCTGGGCTACTCTAGTTTGGGGCTATTATCAATAAAGCTGCTATGAACATTCTGATAGATGATTTTGTGGACATATATTTTGATTTCTCTTGGATAAATACCTAGGAATGGAATTGTTGCCAACTGTTTTTCCAGAGTTGCTATATACCCCACCAGCTACGCATGTAAGTTCCAAATCCCCCCCCCCCAAAAAAAAATATGGTGTTTCCTTTAGTTAAAATGCTTTCCTAAGAAATGAGTAGTGATATTTCCTTTTACATTTCCGTTATGACTAATAGTGCTGGGTACTATTTCATAGGTCTTTCTTGGTTAGTGATATGCCTTTTTTTTATTAAGTATCTATTCAAATATTTTGCCCATTTAAAAAAACAAAACAGGATTGTCTTCTTTTAATTATTCCATTGTAAAAATTCTTCACATTTTCTGGTCTCAAGCCCTTTGCTAGATACAGCAAACCTTGAAGTGGTCAGGTTCCAGACCACTGCAATAAAGAGTACATAGCAGTAAAGGCTCTCTTAGTTTTTTTGCTGGTGAAGGGTCTTGTCTTCAGTTTGTAATAAACAGAACATCTATGAAGTGCAATAAAGTGAGGTATACCTACATAGGTATTACAAATATTTTCACAGTGTATGGCTTGTCTATTTATCTTCTTGTATTATCTACTAGTGTGTGTGTGTGTATATATATATGCCTAAGCGACCATTACGACCCATCACTATGTTGCACACTGACTATCTGGGGTCAGACGCTTAACACAAGAGCTGCCCCCTGGTGGTCAATGTGGGCCCACAGCCAACTTCCCCTGACTGGCCAATCTCCCACAGGGTACAGACACATCTTTACAAATGTATATTTTCTTTATTTAAAGGGCAAGTTTGTACTTTAATTTTAGTAGCTAAGGGAGATAAAGTGTTTTTCCTGTATCTGCTGGTTCTCAAGTGCCTTTAGGTCAAAATAATCCCTATGCCAAAGCGGTGTATTTTGGGATGGCTTATTCTCTAGTGCCCTTCAGCCCCATGGGATAAGCACCATTTCCAACACCATGTGATGAAGACACTTTCCCTTCCTTACTAAATCACTTCGGTACACTTGTCAAATTTGACCATAAATGTGTGGGTCTGTTTGTGGATGCTGTATTGTACCAGGGATCTACATGCCTATCCTTCTGTCAGTGCCACACTGTCTTTTTTGTTTGTTCATTTTAAAGGAAATGGAGGGGAGGGGAGGGGAGGGGAGGGGAGGAGAGGAAGATCATTATGAGAGAGAAACATCAATCTGTTGCCTCCGCGGACTCTCTGAACCAGAATCAAAGCCACAACCTGGGTGTGTGCCCTGACTGGGAATCTACCTGCAACCTTTCTGTGTGCAGGACCATACTCCAGCCAACGGAGCCATGCAGCCAGGGCCCACGCTGTCTTCATTACCAAGTCTTAGAGTTAAATCTCAAATTCAGATCATCTAAGACTGTAAGTCCTCCTGCTTTGTTCTTTTTCAAAATTGTTTGGGCTATTCGATGTCCTTGAATTTCCATATAAATTTCAGAATCAGCTTATTAACTTCTATTTTTAAAAAAGACTGCTGAAATTTCAATAATCAGTAGTTATGGTTTCACAACTACCTATCTGCCCATAGAAATCTACAACCAGGAAAACAAAGGCATTTCAACCTAAAAACAACTTTCAAAAAAGAAGACAAACTTTCAAACCACCATTAAATTTCACCGGTGAAAACAAGAACATTTAGAAGTTCCAGCAAGCATCTTTTACAAACAACTTCTGTTTGTTTCGTAAATCATAAACATTAGCTGTAGTCAATCACTTTGTGCAAACTTTTAGGTCTGACATGAATTTAAATAGATACAAGATTTCTGTATGTTCATCAGAAAACACTGAGAGAACTTCTGGGTCAGCTATTCTGTTAAAGTAATGGAAAGCTACTCTCTGGAAAGGACACAAGGCTAAATTAGTATTTTTTTTCACCTCCCTCTGCTTTCCAATTTATTTACCCACTGTCTTTGTGTATAGAAGCCTAAAGTTTGGACCTTACTGAGCTTTCAGACTATCTGCATACCAAGAACACAAGTAGTCCTCGGGTTTTCAGACAGGCTAACTTTTGTAACATTGCAGAGAGGGAGCATTTACTGTGAGATGTTTTTGAGAGAACACTTTCTAACTGTCCCTACCCACAACTTAAAGGAACATCTCCAAGTAGTTACATGGGAACTAAGAGAAGAGCACACTTTGCCATTTTGGCTCCTCCATCCTACTCCTTTCAGTGACAGGAAATGCCAGCAAATCCGCTCTGGTCAGAAGGTGGGTGAGTGGCAGTGTGTGACCTCCCAAATTAGTCCTGCCATCCCAGCTGTGGCACTGGCAAAGCACCATCTGTATGTCTGCCAAAGTCAGCAGTGAATTATTTTCAAGGGCACGATGTTACCAATGGAACTCAAGAAAAGTGAGAAAGCAGGCACATCTGTTTGTTTTTCTCTTGTAAATCCGTCTTTTGTCAGTCTAATTTACGGGCACCAGCTGGAGAACTTGAGTAGAAAAACAGAGTATTTTCCTCCCTTTTGGAAAGAGCAGGACATATGTTCTCCATCTTCACATCCTAATCCCCTCCCCTAGTCATGGACAACAATTTCAGTTCTAGAATGAGCAGATTTCCTTTCCCTCAAATTTCCCCTGGGGCAGGGTCTAGCTAAAAATTTTAAATAGTGATTAACCACTTGGTTAGAAAAGGAAATAGTGAAATGCCAAAACCCACCGAAAAAGTATTAAGTAAAATGGTCGTATGTGATTAAATAAGATCATTGATTAAGCAGACCACTTTCATTAAAGCCAACAGATCAAAAGAAACATCAGTTGTGTATGAAAAAACTTGCCATATCGTCAGAGGAAAGTGGGGAGCTTTCTGTTCAGGATACCAGTGGCGCATGGGCCAGTGGCTGTCGTTTCTCTTCTTCATGTTTCTCTTCTTCTTACGCTATAAAACTATACCCCGCACACTCAGAAAACAGGTCTGAGGGCCATCTGTGACTGGGGACTGTGTGATCTACATCATTTTAACTATATCCATTAGGTTAGACATTAAATAAAGACTATCATTTATAAATTCTTAATGCAGAATTTAGTGCACATACAATAGTTATTAACAATAAAAATAAAGTAACAGTGATGTTCCAATACTAATAGCTTACAGTTCTACAGATCCTTAGCAGTGACAAAGTGATGATTCTTAGACCCTTTACTACTTGTAAGGAAGAGAAGTTAGGTATCCCTATTTTATAAAAGAGGAAATTGAGGTTTCAAGAGGTTAAGTGAATAGTTATTTCAATTACTTAAGAATAAGTAATCCTAGTGGAAACGATGGAGTTAAAATCTTAGTCTTCTGCTTTTTTAGAAAATGCTATAATAGTATAGATGGGAAAAAATAAATAAATACAGGCAACTGTCAGTTACCCAAGGCAAACCTTCAATTGTAGGCTGCTTCCCTGCTGTCACTCAGCTCCTTCAGGGACAGGTGAAAGTCAGCGCAAACCACAGTAAGACAAAATGATTCTGAGCCCAGTGAAAACCAGGGAAAGCTGTCTACTCCCAAAAGAAATGGTAAGTCTAACAAACCACTGGCAGATCATTTATTTGGTTTCTAATTTATCATAATTTTAGAATCACAAAAAATGGCAAATTTGAAGTTACACATTTAAAATTAAAACAACTCCCACTAAACAGTGTTTGTGAATGCTTTCAAATTACTGGGCACACTGACTGGGTAGTCCTCCTCTATAATATTAGGGTTGGGGACATGGTCAGGAACTGAAGAACAAAGTCAGAGAAAAGAAAGTATAAAAAAAGGAAAGAAAAGAATGCAGAACACACCATTGTTTATGTATTTAATCCTCACCCAAGGACATGATTAGAGAGAGAGGAAGAGGGAGAAAGAGAGGGACATCGGTTGGTTGCCTTCCCTACACACACTCCCTGATTGGGGATCAAATCACAACCCAGGCATGTGCCCTAAGCAGGAATTCAACCAGCAACCTTTCAGAATATGGCACGATGCTCAACCAACTGACCACTCCAGTAGGACGGATCGCTTATTTAACTGGCAACTCTATCTGGGGCTTTAGCAAATTTAGCTTCCTTATCAGAATCATGAGTTAAGAGCTGGAACGGGCTTTAGACATCATCTAGTACAGCTATTATTACATAGAAAGCAAGGGCTAACCCTAAGTTGCAACATGAGTTGGGGAAGGAAGCCCTGTATTGCCTGTATCTAGCACTTCTACCCAGTCTGTAGCCCCAATGCTGAACATAAAACCTAGCATATTGTAGCTGCTCACTAAACATTTACGAGGGTCAACTGTTAAGAATATTTTTTTGGCCGAAACCAGTTTGGCTCAGTGGGTAGAGCGTTAGCCTGCGGACTGAAGGGTCCCAAGTTCGATTCCAGTCAAGAACATATACCTTGATTTCGGGCACATCCCCAGTGGGAGGTGTGCAAGAGGCAGCTGATCAATGATTCTCATCGATGTTTCTGACTCTATCCCTCTCTCTTCTTCTCTGTAAAAATCAATAAAATATATATATTTTTTAAAAAGAATATTTTTTTTTGGTACTGTATGGTCACTGGCTTGTCCCTACCAGAGGACTGAAAGCTAATCTTATATTTATCACTCTGTTAACTTTCACTGACAAGAGATTTAGCAGATTCCTATCACTAAGCACCGTAACAACATATTACTTGTAT